GTTCTCCAGGCGCTTCCTTCTCCACGGTTACTTCTTCTTCTTCTTCCGCCGCCGCTGAAGCGCCCGACAATGTGCTACCTCAGCTTCCACCCTTCGATTACCAACCGAAACCGTACAATGGACCGTCGGCCGATGAAGTCCTTGCGAAGCGGAAGAAGTTCTTAGGCCCCTCTCTCTTCTACTACTACCAAAAGCCGGTACATGATTTTTTATTTTCTTTTTACTTTTCAGTGCTTAAAGTTTCTTTTTCCTGTTTCGTACATCTATAATTACTTATTTTTTAAACCAAAAATTGCGTTCAGTTGAATATTGTTGAAGGAAAAATGCAATATCTGTTTGATGAAAGCGGAAGGAGATATTTGGATGCATTTGCTGGAATCGTAACGGTGTCGTGTGGTCATTGCCATCCGGAGATTCTGAATGCAATAGTAGAGCAAAGTAAGCTTCTCCAGCATGCTACCACAATTTATCTCCATCATGCGATTGCTGATTTTGCTGAAGTTTTAGCTTCCAAAATGCCTGGAAATCTCAAGGTTAATTTTGTGTTCCTTAGCTGAATTTTCGTTTTTTCATTTTTCAAATGTTTTTTATTATTTTATTTTCTATTCTGGTGAAGCACTATTAGATTCTTAATATTTCTTTCTTGTTTGTTTAAAGAAAATTTTGGATTAAAGAAAAAACGAAAAAGAGGCAGCTATAACAAATTCATAATTTTTCAGTAATGTGAAAGTATTATGTTGAAGTCGTTTGATCATTTTAATTAAAATTTGTGTGCTTGTTCATTCTTTTATTATTATTTTTATTATTAATAATAAATTTATGAAAAAACACAAGAAGCTAAAAGAATGATTATGAATTTTTTTTCATAGTTTTAGGTGAAGCAATATACCAATTCAACCACCGTTATTTATAAAATTGTTTATCATTATAAAGAAAACATAGAATGTTTGGCTATTGGTATTCATGGGGGAGATAACTGGAAAAGAAAGGCTTGGTTAATTGATTACGAAATTATGTCTCGGGATGAATTGTTCTATCAAACCTTCTTTTCAGGTTGTATATTTCGTGAATTCTGGGAGTGAGGCGAACGAGTTAGCCATGCTGATGGCCAGACTATACACCGGTAGTCTTGGTATGATTTCCTTGAGAAATGCATACCACGGTGGAAGTTCTAATACCATTGGACTCACTGCGTTAAACACATGGAAGTACCCAATACCAGAGGTTTGGATACTTATCATGTTGCAGTATTTCTTATATACATTTCTTGGCATTGTATTACAAATTCATGTTTAAGTTCTGTTTCTGCAGCCATTGACATTAAACTTTTTAAACTTGAAGTGGTGTGCTGTCATTCAAATAATTAAATAACTTTGATGTTCCTCTTTTCTAATTGCTTGTTAGCTCAATATGTAGTTGAACAATGGATTTGATATGCAGTTTTAGAGGATATTATAAGATAAGAATGTGGATAGGATTAGATGATTTAATCTTATCTCATATTTGGTGCATGCGAAACTTAGATGTTATATTTGTCATCGCATGATATGTTTGTTGCAAGTATGATAAAGGGGCAAATTTTGCTACCTGTCGAAGTTGCTCCTTTTTATTATTGTATACATTGCATTTTTTTGAGAAAGGAAAACACTATTTTAATGTTTATAGGAAACAGTGAAGCAATGTTTTGGGTTCCAGCTCACAATCTTATCCCATGGGAGTGGAATAATTGTTTTTATTATTGGATAGTACTACGTGCACTAAAATATTTCTCTAAAATGATGCTCTCACATATATCTATTTCTTTATTCTAAGGGAGGCGAAAAGTATCAAAATTGTTCTTGGTCTATAATAGAGAATGTTGCAATGCATGTATTAAATGAATGTGTCAACTGTGTGTATTAGATGAGTGTATACAGCCTTATCCTTATATTTATCCTGTGCTTTTCATCAACAATGTACTTGCCTTAGTTTCCAGGCCTTGAACTTGTATCTGAGACTTTATCTTAATAATTTTAGCTGTGCAACCATTATAAATTCCCTTTCAACTATATACTAGTTCTTTGATGATTTGTTTTGAATTCATTATGACTTGGATTATGTGTAACAAGGATGTCATTTTTTAGATGACATCGAAAAAATTGGTACGAGGACATTGGTGTAGGTTTGCAATGTTAGGAAGGCCAAATTCTTCATGCACAGTAGTAGGTAGGGGTGTAACTGGGTATTATGAACTCAAATTATAGGAAGTTTGAGCTTGATTTGGAATCTAAGGTTTGAAGTTCAACTAGGGCTAGATTGTGTTTCATTTCTAAAGTTCAAATTTGATTTGAGCGATATGATCATTCAAACTAATATGCTTATTTCCAAATGTTGTAATGGCATGTGACAGGGTGAAATCCATCACGTCATGAATCCAGATCCTTTTCGTGGAGCCTTTGGCTCTGATGCTACTAGTTATGCCAAAGAAGTACAAGATCACATCGAGTATGGTACTTCAGGAAAAGTTGCTGGGTTTATAGCAGAAACCATTCAGGTTAAATTGATAATCATCTCCTTTAAGTATTTTTTATTTTTTTCACAACAAAACTGGGTTCTGAAGAATTGAAATTATTTTTAACATTAGGGAGTTGGAGGAGCAGTTGAACTAGCCCCAGGATATTTGAAACAGGTTTATGACATCGTTCGCAAGGCTGGTGGTGTCTGCATTGCAGATGAGGTACAAACAGGATTTGGTCGCACAGGAAGCCATTATTGGGGTTTCGAGACTCAAGGGGTCATTCCCGACGTAGTTACCATGGCAAAGGTCTTTAGTCATCAAACTTTGTTACTTACACTAAATTCTCTGAACATTGGAACTTAAATGCTCATTTAGTTTGGCTATATCTTCTGATATTGCTATTAGAATTGGTAGCATCCTGTTACGTAACATGTCATGTTTGACAGGGTATTGGCAATGGATTACCATTAGGGGCAGTGGTGACAACACCAGAAATAGCAAGTGTGATGGCTCAAAAAATTCAGTTTAACACTTTTGGTGGAAATCCTGTATGTTCTGCTGGTGGACTTGCAGTGCTCAGAGTTATAGACAAGGAGAAGCGTCAAGCACATTGTGCTGATGTCGGTTCTCACTTGATTGGACGCTTGAGATCTTTACAGGACAAACATGATAGTAATTATTCTACAACTTGGCACTTTTAAATCCCCTTTGCTTTGCATCATTTCTAAATACAGTATTATTGGCAATTTCACCAACATTTCTTTTGCAATTTTAAATTGCATTGAACAGAAAATTGTTCAGTTCTTGGACACTAGGAATTGAATTAAAATGGTCCTTTGTGGTTTAACGAAAGTGGTTTTTGGTCTTCGAGTTTATTTTTGTTCGTGTTCTTTTCCAATGTGAAGTTAGTGCTATCAAGTAAATTGAGTTCACAATTTTTTACTAATTCCCCCCTTTTCAGTTATTGGAGATGTCAGAGGCAGGGGATTAATGGTGGGTGTAGAAATCGTTACTGACAGGAAGGAGAAGACACCGGCCAAGGCAGAAACTGCCATCCTGTTTGAGAAAATGAGAGGTATTAAGGAATAACTTCTAAAATAGAAAATTAGAAAACAAAGGCATTTTATATTACAACCCCGTGTTGCCACACAGAAGGGACATAGGAATGTATTAGATGATCCAACCAACCTGTTCAAGCCTATAGGATGATAAGCTTATAGGCTTTCTCTTGCTTCACCATTTAGATATGTATGCTAACTGTTCTCTTTTCTGATTGAAGAACTCGGAGTTTTACTTGGGAAAGGTGGACTACACGGAAATGTTTTCAGAATAAAGCCGCCGATGTGTTTCACCAAAGATGATGCTGGTACTTCTTTCTCTTATTCTATTTATTTTATTGCCAAACTCAACAAATAGTTTTCCGACAGGGGCCGTCACTCAACAAATAGGTTTCCAATAGGGGTATGGTCAAAACCGAGCCGAGTTCGAGCTTGATTTGAAATTTGGAACGCAAAGCTAAACCATGTTTCACTTTTAAAGCTTGAGCTCGGTTTAGGAAAAAACATCAAATTACTTTTGTCCAATTAAGATCAATTAATCTCATTTTCCCAATATAAAGTGAACCATATTTTCATACTTGATTTCAATATAGTTACATGTTATTTTGTATTTGTGCAGATTTTCTTGTTGATGCTTTGGATTATGCAATGTCAAAGTTGTGAGCAAAGACGCTTATGTAACTTCTCGATCCTTAGGCATCTAAGTTAAAGCGTGTTCTTCTGTTTAAAAATAATACTCATAATTAAACTGCATTTTCTTTGCATTTGGATGTCTCAAAGGATCATTAATTCAAGCATAATTATCTTCTATATTTCTCTGTATTCAGATTTGTTGATTCGATTCTCGTTCTTTCTCGATGAGCTAGTCATTGTAGTTATAGGTGACAAACGGAAAGGTTGTGGGTATGCGTTTGGGTTCGGGTTTGATTTCGATGTGCAAGCAAAATAGTTGCTTGTAAATCAATATTCAACGCCCAACGTTATTCCATAAACGAAGCAATGAAATTGCTCATGAATTTAATCACAACCGTCTAATAAAATTACAAATTACAGCTCTAGAAGATCAATATGCAGAAAGTGCATAGAAAAATAGAGAGATGCCGACGAAGCCGACTATACAAGATGCCAGAGCTGGAGGATTTCTTGTCTTGACGCCGGGGAGCCACTGGAGCAAGCTTTGGTAACATAATGTGAATATTCCAAAAGATGAGCAACCTTCACAATTATGCATTCGCCATGTTTATCATGCAACTTTCTCGATTTTGTTATTGTGATTCGAGATACGTGTCAAATACACATTCATTATGAGTATACTCAACTTTTTTGAGTTTTTATTTTATATATTTTAGTAGATCATATCTTTCATATTCGGATCTTATAAAAATGAAGAGTCCGAATAACATAATATATAACTCAAATGTAGATCTTATATTTATATCTTTCAAGAGTACATGTAATGCACTACACATCAGTGAAAATTGATTAAATAAGCACTTTCCCCTATGTTAAATAAACTACTCATATGTACAACATCTCAGATCTCTGTTCTGCTTCAAAAAAAAATGTAGGCAATTATGTTCATAACGACATTTGCCAAGAGACGCCTTCGTTTGAAGGAACACGGTTGTTGCAGCGATATCAAACATCCTGTATGCAGGATCCTCAACTGTTTGAAGCTATGCAGGTTAACGAGGGCTAGTAGACCATAGTGTGCTCAAAGCTCGAAGACGTTCAAAGTATTCGCCCAAAGCAAGTAAGCCTCGTGCTGTCTGGCGAATTGTTAGGATTCGAGACATCTGCTGCAGCGTTTCCTGCCGAATGTGGTCTGCCTGCAAAAGAAAACACCAGTTTCAGATACGGATGTGTGACTGAACATGGATATGTCGATTCTTTTACAAGTTATATATATATATATATATATATATATATATATATATATATATGAGTCCTTGAAGAATTACATCCTCGTATCCATGTCTAAATATGTGTCAAACACGAGTATTTTAAGAAACATAAAAAATTGGAGCACCACAACAATAAACTCAATAAATTGAAGAGGGTCAGATGTGGTTATCAGACACTAGTACTTCAAACAGTGTACTTCAACAGAAATTACAAGTCTGGAACATGGGATGAGGCAATTGTTTACCTGGTTCACAAAGCCGACTAGAGCTTCTACCTTCTCAATTGCACTATTCACCTGAGAACTGTAACTACCTTCTCCCAGCTGACCATCCGCCACAGTCACCGACACGATTTCCCGCAGTTTCTCCATGCCTAGTGAAAGCGCATCTTCAGCTTGCTGACATGATTGTTTCAAGTTACAGACCTCAAAGAATTGTTGTTCTGTCAAGGAATCCAGCTGAGGCAAGAGCACCTATAAAATCAACATAACAAACAAATATTACTCAACATTTAACAATAGAACTTGGACCAGAATTCCAATGAAAGTTGCAAGAAATCTACAATACTTAGACTCAAGCATGAATTTTGAATCTAGATATGTATCAGACACAGATATATTAACCTTTTTCTTGAATTCAGGTGTGTCCGATACGGGTATGTGTAAGATGATAATATCTTCAGTATTTTTAAGTTTTGATGTATTCAGAGGATTATCAGAGGGTTATATGCCCATGCTCATTTTGGAACAGGCTTCATACACGGGTACCAAATACAGATATACTAAGGCAAAATAAAAAAGTCGATATGAATCACCTTAAGAAGTTCTGAAGGGCGAAACCCTCCAATCCACGAGAAAAATTGCTCAGCCGATGTTTTCCACATGCCAGACATGACATAGAAAACATCAGCCTTTGCAGCAGTTGATTTAATGCGAAAAAGTTTAGAATAATGATTCATGCCGGTTTCCACAAGCATTCGAAGATCTGCATCACTTATATGGGCATTCAAAGCAGTCCTCAGAGCACATATTTGTTTGCTTTGTTCGTCCATCCAATGTCCGTATTCTGTATCAAATTCAACAATCCCTGCAGAATCCCCAAAATGAAAGTTGTCATTAAAAAACATAAAAGAACAGAGATTCACTTGAAATTAGAAGGAAAAAAAAGAACCATATATAACACAATATCAACTGCATGAAAGTGACATCAGATTCGGGTGAAACATCAATCTACCACAAAAAATAAAAGCAAGAAATTTTAGTCTCAAAATACAAGCATTCATACAGTCTGAAATGTCACACAAACTGAGACAACTTATGTTGGTCTAACTTTTTGTTTCTCTTGGAAGTATTCATATTTGGTATTTATGTGCGCAACATATTTCAACATGAGTATAAATGAGGATATGACCCTCAGAAGACTTCAAATTCGTCGAGAAACTTAAGAAATAGTTGAACAAACTTTTATCAAGCACATACTATATCCGACAATCATACCCGAGCCCAAGTATAACATAGTAAACAACTAATATTAGAGTTCACAAGTGATAACAATAACTATCAGTGTATTTACAAACAAACCTGAGTTTGATGGTGCAGAGAATCCAAGATGACCACCTACTAACCCACCACCCATATAAACACCCTGCAATTTTAAGATTTTATTGCTTAAAATGGCTTTAAACATTTTTTAAAATGAAAAAAAATGGGATTGATATTAATCTCATTCAGAACCTGTTGCTTCGTTTGTGCAAGCTCTTGCTCCAATTGAATCAGCTTTAAACGACTATTTTCTAACTGTTGAACATAAGCCTGAAATACAATGTTATATGAAGTTGATTAAAACAATTCGCATGTGGTCTTGTGGCCTATCTGTTGCTATTCATTACCATATCTTATCTTACCTTTTTCCGCAATCGGCTTTTACGAGCAGCCTCACGGTTTTGCGCAAGCCGTCTTTGTATCTAAAGATATTTACAGTGAAATGCACAAAGAGATTAGACCCTTTATTAAAGGTAAACAAATAATCTACAAACATACAAAATTTAGACACATTGCAGCTAAATCATAATGATTTGGAAATAAAGACAATAATGGTGTGCATGCATATTTCTTCTTCCTTACATTAAAAGAATTATTTCACTCTGTTCCTAAATCAATTTATCTTCATTAATTTTCACGAATTTAGCAGGAAAGATAAGCTTAATTTGCACAAGTGAAATTATCTGGGCTTTAATCTACTTATTTCATGTAGTTAACTTCAAGAAGAAACATCTACGATATATACAATACATTTTCCTTACCTGCAAACTATTACTTTGCCTGAAATTTCGACCTTCATATGATAAAGGAAAAAGGAATGGAACCTAGAAGTCTAGAACTGGAAGTAGTACCATCTTTTCAAATTCCAAGATAGAATATCATTTATGTGACTTGGACTCGTGTGTGAGTGTCGGAAATGGGCATGTGTCCAACACGGATATGATCAATCCATCCCATAACTATGTTCAGATACGTGTCGAACACGATACTTTAAGAAAAATAAAGAGTCAAAGCAACATAGTTTCAACAAACCAATAGATACAATATATCTAACACCATACAGCATGTGATCCAGGACAATACTTTATCCAGTAAAACGTGAAAACAAATGAAGAACCAGCACCATGTACCATTCAAAATTTACCTTCTCAACAGGTTTAGTGGCTTCTTGATCATACTTGATAGAAGGTGCAAGCATTTCATGTGAAGTAGTTTCAGACTAAATTCAAATAACAAAGGTTACTTATGACCAAAATCAGATAAACGAATAATCAAAGAACAAAATGTCTGGAACTCGCACCGTGTTCGGTATCTTGTTATCCATTTCGACAAACATTGATACAGATGCATGCAGATTGCTTTCCGCATCAAAATTTTCTCCCCACATGCCAATCTGTTGGATAGGATCATAGATATCCATCCTTCTTGAAGATACGAACTGAGATTCCATGCTTCTTGAATCGAAAATGGAGGCAGCTTTGGTACAAGTTGAAGTCAAAATGGAGTCTGAAAGGAACAACGCATGAACATGTATGAGCATTACTCCACGAGTACAATGGACAGGCATTATAGAAAACATATGGTAAGCAACAGAGAAGATGATTACAAAATTTAATAGATAAGCCTTTCACAATACTAAAAACGACAAATATGAACAAACAAAAGGAATCTGGAAAAATTCATATACTGATTTCTTTTAAGAAATTTAACCAGCCTCAGTGAACTCTCAAACAAATCCGACATGAAACGTCACTAAAAGAATTAATGAAATCAATAAGAGTGAATTCGTTCTGCCATGGAACTCAAATAAGCATGGAATTAAAGAATTTTGATCTGCTAACTACCAAGAAAATGAAATCAAAAGAATTGTTTCCATCTAAAATTTGATCTATGGTGACATTGGCATCGACAATGAATGAACAGTGAAAAAACGATCACAGATACTCTATCTGACTTCACAAGCTCATATTGTTTACAGTTACATGGAAGAGCAATAAATGAATCAAAATCAACTTGAATTTCGTGGTTTACAAAAAAACATGGTTTATTTGTATCCAAGTGTGAAAATAAGATTGAAAACTCAATCATTACATTATTTTCATATCATTATCGTCCAGCTAGCTCAGTCTTAAGCCGTCCATTCTTCCCATCGCTTTCATGGTAGACTTATTTGCTATGTTTTTAAGTATCCGATACATGCATGTGTACTAATCTTTTTTCTAAGAGCACAAATCGTTTAACAAAACTTGCAGGGAGGGAAAAAGCTTCTTCCGATACAGATGAATTAAAAACAAATCCAGAAAAAAGCTATTAATCTGGATGAGAAGATTTGAAAACATGAAATTCAAAGAAACAAATATTAATAGAAAATCAAAGGAACAAAATAAATAAGATTATGATGGTAATTAAGCTGTTTTCACCTCCGAATAAAATTCCAAACAATTCAGAATTAATCAAATCAGCCAAAAAATAAAAGACTTACAATGGACTGAAGGAGGAAAAAATGGAAAGCCAGCCAAACACTAGTTTCAACTGAAAATCCATTATCTTAGCTCCAAAAAAGACTTTGTTATGAGGAAGACAAAAATAACAGAGATTACTTTTTTTTCCCTCATAAAATAGTAAAAAAAACGAATATATGGAAAGGAAGACTCATTGTTTTCATTCAAATAAGCTTTCGAGTATTATGTTTTGTATTGTTTCTCCTCCAACTTTCCCGGCAACCAAACACCTACCAAACAAGTAAAAAGGAAGAGAAAAAATAACAAACGAACCTTTAAGCAAGTGTCCTTAGAACAAGTTTCCCGCTAAAATTTGAGCCCCAGAACCAGCAAAAAAAAAAAAAAAAAGGAAGAAGAAGAAGGAAACTCCTGTTGAACACCAATGAGCACTTGCTTCTTCTTCCCTGCGAAACCCCACAGTCGCATAATGTTCAAACACAAATGCTGCCGGCAATCCAATCACCCTTCAAACTGATCGCATCTTTTCTCCTTAATTTTTATTTTATTTTATTATTACTGTAATGCGATCCGACAGAGTTGGAGTTTGACTTAAAATTTTAATATTCACTACACATTTTGGATTGCATTGAATTTTATTTTCAAAATTTTAGCTTAATTGAAAATAAAAAAAATGAATTATTTGATTTTACTGGACTCTTCTTTCAACAGTGATTAAAAATATTTTTTTTATCAAATATTAAAATACTTGAATTTGATTTGTTAAATAATTTAAAATCAACTCAAATTTTATGAAAATGAATTTTATATTATATTTTTATCAAATTTAAATAGCATAAGGATAAGATTTAGGGTAAAATACAACAGTATCTAAATATTAGTAAGACTATAAATGGATTATTGAATTTTAGAAAGTTATCACTAATTTTTAGATACAAACAAATCATTCAATTTATCGATCATAATAATTGAGTCACTTAATTTATCAATTACTATAATTAGATCACTCAATTGTAAAGAAAAAGTTAACGCTTGATTCGCAATTAACGACAACGTTACATGTGTGTAACAATCAATAGTTGAATGATCTGTTTATAGGTTTTTGAAATTTTGTGACTCATTTATAATCTTAATTAATAATTGAGTAACCTATTAGATATTTTACCCTAAAATTTTCTCCTTTACACTACGAATTTTACCGGATTCTCTTGTATGCCAATATTCAATATTCTCTCCCATACCTACCTTTTAAATTATTAAGTATTATAGTTGTCTTTTAAGTTATCTTAAGCTACACTTACTTATACAATAATGACTGATTAACCATTTTATGAAAGAATTTAAAATTATATGTTTCTTCTCAATAAAAAATAGTTATTAATTACTTTTCTCAGAAATAAATAATTAAATTGTCATATTTCCACTATGCTGCTTATTATATTATCCGACACACCTGTCCTCCTTTTAACCTACGCACACCTTTCTTGCGTGTTCCTCACGTCAGTTTACGGCGAACTATTTTGGCCCTCTCTTCTGTTTCATCCCTTCACTTCATGCTCTTAAACAGCGCTTGAGCCTCATTCTCTCCATTTTCCTATATATATATATATATATATATATATTCGTAACTATAATTTTAAGATTTTTCTGTTAACATTAGACTTAGTTAAAAAGTTCACATATAATTTATATAATATTAAATTATGTTATTGGAATAGGTAATATCGTGATGATTTTTATTTATTTATTTATTTTTGATTTGGATGATAACTCGCATATAATGGTTTAGTGGGTTCGGTGAAAATTAGTGAAGTAGAGAGGTTCAACCAGAGAGAAAGAGAACTGGTGAGAGGGAGAGAATCCCCTTCTTCATACTTGCATGATACTTTTATATATATAGAGAAAATACTTTCAGTGACCAAAAATTTTAGATAATATACGATTTTGACCAATTTTTTTTGGATTTGCGAAAATGACCAACAAAATCGCAATGCGATCTCTAATTCGCATTGCGATCTCCACTAGCGCAAATTCGCGTTGCGATTTTTCATTTCGCGTTGTGATTTTCCAGTTCGCGTTGCGATAGTTGAAAATCGCGTTGCGATTTTCCATTTCGCGTTGCGATTTTCCATTTCATGTTGCGATTTTCCATTTCGCGTTGCGATAGTCTACAGTTGTCGTTGCGATTTTCCAAATTCGTTGCGATAGTCTACAGTTGTCGTTGCGATTTTCCAAATTCGTTGCGATAGTTAAGTATTACCACGACCACGACCACGACCCGAGACGAGACGGACGGCGGCGGCGGCGGCGCGCGAGAGTCCCCCTTGTTCTCTATCACTCAATAAGGAAGTGAGAAAGCCAAGCCTTAAATACTATTCTCAATAGTGTTTCCAATACTATGTGGGATTTGAGCATTACCAACACTTGTTCCCAATACTATGTGTGATTGAGCCTTAAATAGTGATATTATTTTTGAATGTTTTGCTTAAAATTGCAATAATCGCGATTGATTGTAGATTGACTTTTAATTATGACATATTTAATCGTATAATACTAATGCAATTGGTTGCTAATTCAGTTGTTTTAAGGTGCACGATTGTTAATTGTTTCCTGAATAATCACATTGTATTGGAAACAAGTGTTGGTAATGCTCAATCCCACATAGTATTGGAAATACTATTGGGAATGATATTTAAGGCGTGGCTTTCACACTTCCTTGTTGAGTGATAGAGAACAATGGGGACTATCGCGCGCCGCCGCCGTTTGTCTCGGGTCGGGTCGGGTCGTGGTCGTGGTCGTGGTCGTGGTAATACGTGTCTTCGACACGTCTGCGCGGATACTATCTTTTTAGAGAAAATTCTTAAGAAACAAAATCTTTTTTTTCACTATCGCAACGAATTTGGAAAATCGCAACGACAACTGTAGACTATCGCAACGACAACTGTAGACTATCGCAACAACAACTGTAGACTATCGCAACGCGAAATGGAAAATCGCAACGCGAAATGAAAAATCGCGATTTTCAACTATCGCAACGCGAAATGGAAAATCGCGTTGCGATTTTCAACTATCGCAACGCGAAATGGAAAATCGCGTTGCGATTTTCAACTATCGCAATGCGAAATGGAAAATCGCAACGCGAATTTACGATAGTGGAGATCGCAATGCGAATTAGAGATCGCATTGCGATTTTGTTAGTCATTTTCGTAAATCCAAAAAAAGTTGATCAAAACCGTATATTATCTAGGATTTTTGGTCACTGAGGTTATTTTCTCATATATATATATATATATATATATATATATATATATATATATATATATATATATATATATATATATATATATATATATATATATATATATATATGCTATTAGTGTGGCTGTCAAGTTTAGAGTGATAATATTTATTATAGGTTGTCATACTAAATAGATTTGATTATCAAATATTAGATTTAATTGATCATATGAACTTCTCAGTGATCATATCAGGAGTTTATAGTTTATCAGAAGATATAAAACTTTAAAGATTTTGAGAAATTCTAAAGACTTCGATAGATGGAGAAATATTAGTGAAAGTACAACTTGTTGAGAAGGTATAATATATTTAAATCCAAGTGATCAGGGGTTAATTCTTGATTTTATTAAAATATTAATAAATATTCAACTAATTAAATTAATTAATTTTGATTTAAATTATAAATTTAATAAAAAAGAGAAAGGGAGAAATTTATTATCAAAGAAGTAAATAAAAATATGTGTGTAAAACATAAATTAATTATAATTTCACTTCATTTGGTTAGAAGTTTGGTGAACCAAATTAATCATGAATTGTTGACCCTTGTTATTATCCATCTTTTAGTCCACCCTTTCACGTCTTCCTAGAGACAAAGCTGATCTCAACGCATCAAAGCTGTCTCACTCTCTCTTTGCTTAAATTTATTCATTAGTACTCCTTTATCCTTCTCTTCCCTATTTTTTAATCTTATAGATATGGATGAATATTAAACATATATTTGATAAGTAATTTTATATATTTGGAGGATTGCCTCTTCGTAGTTAGTGGTACACCCAACGAGTGTAAAGAAAGGGGAATTGACCCTTGGTTGAAATGGAAAAATAATTCATTTTAGTTTGTTAGGTCAAATTCTATGCTTAATACTTGTATCATGCATAAATTATGGATCTAATACTTGTACTTTAATTTGATTATTTTTAGTCAATATACTTTTTTAAACTTTAGACTTCCAATCCTGATTAAATTGCATGATTTAAAATAATCAAATTGAAGAACATGAATTTAATCTAACACTAATTATAATATAGGGACTAATGACATAATTTTTTTATTAGTTTAGAATGATTACAAGATAATATATGTTCGGAAGTCTCTTAATCATTTGACAATAAATGTTCAAACACCATTGTAGATGTTGTGCCCGAACCTGAGACATCTAAGTATAACAATCATCATTTTAACTACTGAGGTCGTTTAATTCGTGCTAATAACATCTAAGTATAAAATCTAACTTTTTTAATACGAAACTTTTAGTTTAATACAGTAGGGAAACATGTCTTTAGGAATGGGTAATTAGGTAGGAAATAGGGTCAGCATCTATACCATTTCGATAAGCATGTTCGTTAAATGTGCAAGTTGGCTTAAGCCATACTTTGAACTAATTAATCCTCATCTTTAATGCATTAGAATATAGAAGCATCTTCAGAATTTGAACTCACTTTAGCTTTTATCCATATCTTTGTATAATATAACATTTTAAGAAAAATATCAACTACCATAATTCATATATTATTATAGTGTCCAATTAAAACAACTATTGGTCAAGCATACACGACCTAAATAATTGAAAAACAATTATTATAGTAATAGTACGTCCATTATATATTAATTTGCAGTATGGATAATCTCGTAGGAAGATTAGATAAGTTCAAATGCTTACATTATTTTTATTATTAGAGAAATGATCCGATTTAATACGCCACAAGCACTTTTAGAAAAGTAACACATATATTTATTAGAATTGATAAAAGAAAAAATAAAGCATGCGACAGTTTTTAATCCAATTATGCGAGTATTTAATTAATTAAATCAGTTTTAATAAATTTTAATTCAATTAGTTGTTTTAATAGTTAGAATTAAAAAAATGAAAAGAAAAAAAGTTTTAGTGGCTGTGTATGGAAAACAAAGTATTATTATTATTATTACTTATGTATGGTGGCAAAAGATGCGTGTAAAGTTGCAATGATGGTTGGGTGGTGCAACATCCCAATGGTTGGTTGATACCTTTGTGGTTTCCCTTTTCTTTTAACCACTTATAAAAATGATTTATCAATTGATTATTTTAGATTAAATTTTATAAAGATTATATCTGATCTATTGATCGATTATTTTAGATCGAAATTTGTTCCATTCGCAAAGGTCGAATTTCGAACTTATAACATTACTTAAGAAATTTAGTATCTCACTACATTAGACCAACTTATTATTAATAAAGATTTTCTCTTTCTAAAATTCTATGTAGAGTTGTTTGGATGATGAGAAAATGAGAAAGAAACGTCACCCAGACATTTTGCTATTTCTGTTTTTAGTGCAATCTAAAGTGGGTTTCCACTAAGGGTGGCTTGTGTTGGCGTCACAATTTTATGAACATTCTAACCTCAAAAACCTCATTCGTCTTCTCATTGACATTACCATACACAATTGGGTTCAAACTAGAATCATGAATAATGGTTCTTAAAAGGTCTTGGATCATACAACTTGTAAAATAGATTATAATACTCTTAGATTATTGAAATCGAAAATTCAAATATTCTACCATCGTATCGATTATTTAAAAATTATAAATTATTACTTACGCATTACTTTTATTAACAATAAAACATTGTAAATTATTACTTACATATGACTTTTATTAACAATTTAACATTATAAATTGATAAAGATCACTAAGTTTGTTGTGATATGAATGAAATTGAAAATGTTTTTATGTTAAAATTTCATTAACCTATGATAAGAGAAATTAAATAATAATGTCACAATCAAATTATAAAGTCTAAGCTCTATATGTATTTAAGACTAAGAATCATTTTAAAAGTATTTGGGAGCTATGGGAAGTGCGTGGAAGACCAGAAAGGAGCTAAATCTCTTTTCGATTTTTGTTAGCAATGTTAGTAAAAGGATTCATGTTCCAACTCTTAAGGATGCGTTTCAGGCGTATGGTGATGTCCAAGATGTTTTCATCGCTTATAACAGTAGGAAAAGATTAGATGCAAGTTCCACTTTTGCGTTTGTTAGATATAGAAAGAAATCGAAAGCAAATAATGCAGTGCTTAGAGCTGATGGGAGGATATTGGATGGCTTTAAGATTAGGGTTTTTCATGACAAAGTGGTTGATAGCTATTATCAGAAAGGGGATTATCAGAAAGGGGGTCAAGTTAATAATGTCAAGAAAGTTTGGAAACCAACCATTAGAGATGCAAGATCATTCAAGGACTTGTTGGGGGGTTGAGGATGCCTGATGGTAAAAGCCATGGAACAGAAGTGTTTAAACAGTCTGTGAAAGAAGTTTCTTTTAAGGGGGTGATTCATGTTAGTGTAGTAGATGGGAAAATGATGAATACTTATTCTAAGGTTGTTGAAGATAGTGCAAATATTATCATTCCTAAACAAGATTTATCGTGGGTTGGTTGCAGTATGGCTGGGAAAATCAAAAATAGTTATAATGTTGATATTGTTCAAACAGCGTTTAGAGCGGAAGGTTTAGAGGTGAAAGTAAGTCCATGGCATGACTTACTGGTTATCATTCAATTCAAAAGCGGAAGTGATCGTCAGTCGTGTTGGTTGAGTAGAGAATATTGGATACGTTACTAGTTTGAGGAGCTAGAATTGTTGGAAGGGTTAAAGAATAAAGTCAGTTTTAAAGTATGGGTTCTATTAAAGGATATGCATGTTTAGATCTGGAGTGTGAAGTTCTTCAATGATCTAGGTTGTTCATGGGGGAAAGTTCTGAAGGTAGACGATGAAACCAGAACCAGGGAGAGATTCGATGTTGCAAAGCTTCTGATGGAAGTTCAATCTGAGTCCTCTATTCATGATAATGTCTCCATCATATTAAATGGAAAGATTTTCAAAATCAGTATTCGTATAAAGCTATATAAGGAGGAGCGTACTTTTATAGATGGGTCAATGGCGGGGGGGATCAGAGTGGTTTCTAGAGATGGAACATGAGGCAGCAGATCATGTTTTCGAAGAAGACAATGTTGCAGAGGCTGAATTTTTGAAAAGTGGGTAGGTGATGAAACAGGTCGAGTCTGTTAGTGAGAGAGTTGAAAAGGATGAAGGCGTGTTGGTAATAGAATCGAGCCAAATGGGGGCTGTAGAGGTCAACTATGTGGATTTAGCTGTTTATTTCGGGGATTCAGAAGAGATATTGCATGATATTCCTATCAGGGCCAGTATTGGGCCTATTTTTCAGCCTGTAGACGAGAGCTTTGGGCTTTTGGAAATTAACAGAGATCAATCTCAGAGTTGGGAGAACCAGTCCATATCTCATTGTTCTAGGCTTCAGGATGTTCTAATAAAGGAAGTTTCATCTATCAATTTTATGGATGAAGCTCGGCTGGCAGTTTCCCAAGTGGGTATGAAGGGGATTTCTCAAGTTCAGAATCAAGCGGAGGGTAATATATCGCCGGAAATTACTCGAATTCCAAAGATGAATGGTTCAAATCGAGTGAAGAAAGATGTTTACATGAGATTATCAAAGGCTAGAAAGAAGAAATTGTGCAAAAAATGAATGCATGAAGAATGGAAGAGTCCAAGTTGGTCGAAAGTCAAGGATGATAAAGGTAGAATCCTTGGGGGGGAGAGTAGGTGCACAGAAAAGGAAGCGGAGATGACGATGGCAGTAGTCGAGGCTCTGGGAGTGGAATTCTCCGACTCAAGAGAAGTTATGATTGATAGGCTAGAAGCTATTGAGAGGAGGGGTAAGTCTTGATTCCGCTTTTGTTATTTGGTGTATCTTGTTTGGTGTGCGTTTTTATATATATGGAAGAGTCTATGTAAGTGCTATCCTGGAATGTGAGAGGGTTGGGAGAGTAGAAAAAATACGAGAGGTATCTCGTGTTATTGAATCGAATAAGGCTGATGTGGTCATGTTGTAAGAATTAAAAATTTCTATGATTAGTGGTTTTGTAGAAAGAAGATTGAAAGGGAAAAATTCTAAGAATCTTTTGTGTTCGCCTGTTGAATGAGCGTCTGGTGGTCTCATTTTGTTGTGGGATTCGAATATGTTTGATATGAGAGATCAAGTTGTGTTGAGGAGAATTTTAGCTATAAAGGGTAGTTTAGTTAGGTTCAATAAGGTTATAAGCTTTGTGAATGTTTATAGTCCGAACGTGCAAGGTGAGAGGAAGGAATTTTTTGAGAATTTGAATGTTGTGATCACTGACTTGAATTCCTCGATTATATTGGGTGGTGATTTTAATATTGTTAGAGTATATGATGAAAGAGTAGAGGTTTGTGATCATCAAGGAGTTATTAATATGTTTGAGGAATTTATCTCTAATTGGGATCTTATTGAAGTTCTAAATGTGGGTAGTCAGTTTACGTGGTTCAGGGGTGGTATGAATGTGGCGGCAAGTAGGCTCGATAGGTTATTGGTCTCTACAGAAATAGTAAGTTTGTTCCCCCTGATTATACAAACCACCTTACCGAGAAGCTTATTCGATCATAGGCCTATTATTTTAAAGGAAAAGAAGGCTAAAAAGTTCAATCGATCGTTCAAGTGGTTTAACCATTGGGCAAAAGATTCTGAGCTTGCTGGAAAAATTAAAGAATTATGTGAAAAGAATAGAGGAATATGGCTGAATCAGATTTTAGAGTTGGTAAAGGAGGCGACCAAGGCTCGGGAAAGAGTAACAAAGATGAAGTTTCCTTTTTTAGTGGAAGAGATTGGAAGAAAGATCGATACTTTAGAAAATAAAGTTATTGTTGAGGGCAATAACACTGTAATCCAGAATGAATTATATTCTTTGAATGCAAGGTTGTGGGCTGTGGTGAGAAAAAAAGAACGTGAGTGGTTATAAAAATCTAGATTGAAATGATTTAAAGATGGGGACAAAAATATAAGATTTTTCCACCTTTCTGCTATTGCTCGAGGTAGAATTAATATGATATCTAAAATTAAGACATTGAATTCGGTGGTGAAAAGTCGGGTGGGTATACAGAAGGCTTTTGTCAAGTACTTTAGCTCCGAATATAATGAAGTGTCTATTGTCCTTATTAAAAGATTCGGTATACCTTTGAAGAGGCTGAAACCTGCTTCTAGGCATTTTATTGAGCGTCCATTCTCGGAGGGGGAGGTTTGGTTATCTATCAAGGGGTTTGATTGATCGAAAGCCCCGGGGCCGGATGGGTTCAATAAGGATTTTTTTTAAGATGTTCTAGGGGTTTATAAAAGGGGAAGTTATGGCATTCATGCATAATTTTTATTGGGGCAGATTTCAAGATTTATCTTTTAATAAGTCTTTTATTCATCTCATTCCGAAGAAGGTGGAGGCTTTGTATCCGGAGGATTTCAAACCGATTTCGTTGGTGGGAAGTTTGTATAAGATAGTATCTAGAGTCTTAGCCAAGAGGTTGGGTTCTTACGCCTCTGAGGTCATCGGGGAGAATCAATTCGCTTTTATGCCTGGTAAGAAAATATCGGAATGCATCTTAATAGCAAATGAGGTGATTGATGGGCTGCCAAAAAGTAAGAAAAGAGCAGTTTTGATTAAGGCAGATTTTAGTAAAGCGTATGATAGTGTCGATTGGGGTTTTTTGGATTTGATCCTTAAGAATATGGGTTTTGGTAGGAGATGGAGAAGTTGGGTAAAAATGTGTATTTCGACTCCTTTGATTTCGATGCTAGTAAATACACATTTTATCTCACATTCAATTGCCTTTCCTATTTAATATCGTGGGAGAGGCTCTTAGTGTTATGTTCAAGAGGTCAATTGATATTGGTCTTTGTGGAGGGATTAAAATAGGGGAGGGTGGTGTCATTTTATCTCACATTCAATTCGCTGATGATCTTCTCATCTTTACCGAAGCTAAAGAGTCGTCAATTTTAAACTTTAATCGTGTTCTAAAAATCTTCGAAGTTGCGGCTGGCTTGAAATTAAACATGAAAAAGACAAAGATGTATGGGATTAATGTGGAGAACAACATTGTGAAAAGATGGGTTAACTCGATTTATTATGGTGTGGCAGATTTTCCATCAATGTACTTGGGTATGCCGCTTGGTCAGAAGAAAAATTCGAAGAATCTTTGGCATCCAGTATTGGAAAAAATCAAGAACTGATTACAAAGCTGGAAAGGTAAACTTTTATCTTTTGCGGGTAGAGTCACTCTGATAAAATCAGTCTTGGTTAATCTCCAGTGTATTACATGTCAATATTTCCCATCCCTGTTTCAATTATCGAGCAGATTAATAAGTATATGGCTAATTTTTTGTGGAAGTCCAAATTGGATAGGAATATTCACTGGGTTAAATGGAATAATATTTATGGTCCGAAATCACACGGTGGATTGGGTTTTTTACTTTAAAATAAGGAATCGTGCCTTGTTAAATAAGTGGTTTTGAAGATTTAGTGTTGAAATTGATAGCTTGTGGAGGAAAATTATTGTTGCTAAGTATAAATATGATCCTTATTCCATTATTCCGAGGGTAGTCAATCAAAGAAATTCCTATTGGATTTGGTTTAGTATTGTTAACCCGGGTAGTGCTGCTCAGGTGGATCTAATTGCGGAGTTGAAATGTGGTATGGGAGATGGGGAAAATTGATTTTTGGACTGATCAGGTTTCGCTCAAAGAGGTGTTCCCGAGAATTTATGCGATCGCGATTAGAAAGCTCGACAAGATAAGTGAGTTTGAAACATGGGAAAATGGAGTATGGTTGTGGAGGATTGAACTAAGAAGACCACTATTCGAATGGGAAAAATTAGTATGGTCGAATTTTATCCAATAACTGAATAAAGCGGTGAGTCTTAGACAAGGTGTTGATAAATTGAAATGGTTGGGGGCGGTCGATGGGAAGTATACTCCCAAAGCGTATTCCTTAAAGCTGTCATGCGGTAATATGGTGAAAGACCATATATGGAAACTGGTATGGTTTAAATGGGCTCCTCCTAAAGTAGCATCATTTTTGTGGAGAGTTGTGCATCAAAGAATTCCAGTCATGGTAGAACTGGAAAAAAGAGGTGTTAAGAATCTCGATAAGATGAGATGTCTTTTTTGTAATCAAGAGTCAGAATCGATTAATCATGTTTTATGTATATGTGGGGTTGTTTGGAAAGTATGGCAACGATGGTGTAGAGTATGGAAATTGAATTTAGTGATCCCATGAATATAAAACAGCTATTAGAAGTTTGGTTCTCTCAAAGAGTTAGGAAAAAACTTCGGTTTGTGTGGCAACTTGGTTTCTTTGGACTGATTTGGATTATTTGGCGATGTAGAAATGAATCCAG